ACAGGTATTGATAATTTCAATTCCAAATATCTCGAGAACCATTACTCGTAGCGATTTTTAGCAAGAGACAATTTTTACGTATAAAACGCCGTAAATGTATATTTTTTACTCACTAGTTTTATACAGATACTGACAAAAAGTTATTACTCTTCAAACGAGTTAAAAATTATGTAGGTGGCGCCCTCAATAAGTAGGAGTCATATTGACACCAAAATCAAATTTCTCATGTCAAAAAACATCATTTTTCATCCAAATATTTACGTTACTTCAGAAATTATTTGGAAAAAATCGAAATAAAAATAAAACTTCAACACCCTGTATTCAAAGTAAGCATTTTATAACATACATTTATACGAACTTCTTTAGTTATTTTTATCTGTAGAATATGCTGCCGAAGTTTTCGGAATACAGTTCGGACCACCCTGTACGTCCCTGATTTGCATTGGACAATTATGACAAATAAGCTATAAGCCTAAGTGACGTGAGCTGTCAATAGGGAATTACAAAAATTAATTTTCTGTACAATTTTCTCCCATGAATATTTCCAATATTTAAATTATTCTAAGTTATTCCGCTATTCTATGACCAATCCTACAAATCAGAGATTCTTGTTCTTGAGTTTGCAGTAGTGTAACTAACCCAACTTTGTTTTAACTTTTTAGATTTGCTTAAAAGTCACAAATAAATAGATTTTTGTTAACTAATCAAAGAATCTCTCTATAAAGTATTGAATAACAACTTTGTAGATTATAACATCGATTTGACGGAATCTATTTGTTGTTTTAGAAAACATGTTTTACTGTGGAAAATGCCAGAAATCGTACAAATTAAGACAGAGTCTTAAACGCCATTTTCAGTACGAGTGCGGAAAATCTGCCAGTTTCCAGTGTGATTACTGTCCATTCCTGTGCAAAAGAAAAGACAATTTACAGACACATATTTTCTTGAAGCATTTCAAGAGATCAATTAAGAATAAAGTTATAAAGTGTACTAACATTGATTGAAAGAATTGGGAAGATAGGCAACCTAATGGGCGAATTCGTGGCAAGACTGATTTGATTTCCCCTTACTTCTTAAGTGCTGTACGGTGGAGACACCAATCGTTCTGCGGTCAACGCATAAAACACTTATTTTCTCTACTTCGGCCAGCGAAGGCATATCGAAGACTTTGTGAAACTGAAAGGGACATTGTTGCCATATTAAAATGTGTAATATGTGTAAAATATATATGCGTATATGATAAAAATATATTTGAATGAAAAATCCGCGTTTATGTATTGAAAATTACTAGTGTTAAGTACACATAGAATACACAACAAAAATAAAAATTCTGATGAGCTGTCAATAGGGAATTACAAAAATTAATTTTCTGCACAATTTTCTCCCGTGAATATTTCCAATATTTTAAATTATTCCAAGAATGCCAGAAATCGTACAAATCAAGACAGAGTCTTAAACGCCATTTTCAGTACGAATGCGCAAAATCTGCCAGTTTCCAGTGTGATTACTGTCCATTCCTGTGCAAAAGAAAAGACAATTTAAAGACACATATTTTCCTGAGGCATTTTCAAGAGATCAATTAAGAATAAAGTTATAAAGCGTACTAACGTTGATTGAAAGAATTGGGAAGATAGGCAACCTAATGGGCGAATTCGTGGCAAGACAGATTTGATTTCCCCTTACGTCTTAAGTACTGTACGGTGGAGACACCAATCGTTCTGCGGTCAATGCATAAAACACTTATTTTCTCTAATTCGGCCAGCGAAGGCATATCGAAGACTTTGTGAAACTGAAAGGGACAGTGTTGTCATATTAAAATGTGTAATATGTGTAATAGATATGACAAAAATATATTTGAATGAAAAATCCGCGTTTATGTATTGAAAATTACTAGTGTTAAGTACACATAGAATACACAACAAAAATAAAAATTCTTATGAGCTGTCAATAGGGAATTACAAAAATTAATTTTCTGTATAATTTTCTCCCATGAATATTTCCAATATTTTAAATTATACTGGGTTATTCTGCTATTCGGGGCAAAGAAGAATCCTGTTTAAATCAGAGATTCTTGTTCTTGAGTTTGCAGTAGTGTAACTAACCCAACTGTGTTTTAAATTTTTAGATTTGCTTGAAAGTTACAAATAAATAGATTTTTGTTAACTAATCAAAGAATCTCTCTATAAAGTATAGAATAACAACTTTGTAAATTATAACATCGAATTGACGGAATCTATTGTTTGTTGTTTTAGAAAACATGTTTTACTGTGGAAAATGCCAGAAATCGTACAAATCAAGACAGAGCCTTAAACGCCATTTTCAGTACGAATGCGGAAAATCTGCCAGTTTACAGTGTGATTACTGTCCATTCCTGTGCAAAAGAAAAGATAATTTAAAGAAACATATTTTCGTGAAGCATTTTCAAGAGATAAATTAGGAATAAGGTTATAAAGTGTACTAGCGTTGATTGAAAGAATTGGGAAGATACACAACATAATGGGCGAATTCGTGACAAGACTGATTTGATTTCCCCTTACGTCTCAAGAGATGTACGGTGTAGACACCAATCGTTCTGCGGTCAACGATAAAACACTTATTTTCTCTAATTCGGCCAGCGAAAGCATATCGAAGATGATGTGAATATTAAAGGGACAGTGTTGCCATATTAAAATGTGTAATATCTGTAATAGATATGACGAAAATATATTTGAATGAAAAATCCGCGTTTATGTATTGAAAATTTATTAGTGTTATATACAGAATAAATAACAAAAATAAAAATTCTTTTATAGGTACAGTACATCTGCTGGATATGTGTCTATGAAAGGAATGCGGACAAAAAACATTTAAATAAACACCAATATATTTTATACGTCGATTTGACGAGTGCGTCACCGCAAATCGCTCCGCCCACTCATTTTATTGGCTACTTGCAAATTTGTTGAATTTCTATTGATTGGATCGCGTCGTCTATTTTTTTACGAAAAACATCAAGAGAATATCGTTTCCCCTCTCACGGATACCCCGTAGCTACAGAACGGACAGACGTATTGTACTGTGTATGTCTCATGATCGAAAAAAGTCATTTAGTAGGCTTGGAAATGACGAATTATTGAAATTTACCATAATATTTTACATATGAAATAACAGCCATTTTCATTTCCAAGCCAACTCTGACGCCGTTCTTTGTTTAATCATATAATATTATATTAAATTGTTTAATGATAGAAAATCCGTATTATTAACGTATTGTATCCAAAATCCGCAAATCTACGGATTAATCAGTAATTCTGGCAACACTGTCTCCGATAACCACTCACTCTGTCCCCTGAAAGCAGAACTACGGTACAGTATTCTTTATCCTCTGCGCTGTAAACGACTTCAGCGCGCAGCGGCGCAACGCTAAACTAAATCTCGAGTCTCGGACAGGCTGACGGTAAGGCCAGCTACATCTCGGACAGGTTTTTTTGCCACGAAATCGCCCATAAAGTTGTGCATCTTCTTATTTAACTAAAGTATTAATGTACTATAAGAAAAGAGTAGACATCAATAAACTTCAAAAATGTTATCAAGATTTTATTTCAAAGTTTTCTAAAAGTTGTATGTTGACAAAAAATTATATGATTTAAGGATATTTTTTAGAATAAAAATAATAAACAAAATACAAGAAGCAAAAAATTAAGGCCAAAAAACCCTACATATATGCTTATTCTCTGCTTTTCGTTTGTCAGATTGAGGGTTACAGCAAAGTCGGTCTGGCGATGGAGATAAATCTCCGAAACCGGTCGTCGAATGGCTGTTCCCTTCAGTCTGATGAACCAATTATAATATAAGTCTTATCTATTCTGATAAAGTTAATGCAGGGAATAAGCATATATGTAGGGTTTTTTGGCCTTTATTTTTTGCTTCTTGTATTTTGTTTATTTATATAAACCCTACCAAGCCTTCAGCTCGATCTACGGTAACATAGATGAAGCAAGCAAATAAAACTAATGTTTGATATAGACTTGATGTGTGAGTTTTCCAATGAAATATGTAAAAGTTTATTGTTAATATTTTAGTAAATGGTATTTTTAGGTTACGCGTTCTATTGTGGAGAATGCCAGAAGTCTTACAAAAGCAAGAAGAGTCTTAATAGACATTTTAACTTTGAGTGTGGAAAAACAGCTACTTTTAAATGTGACTACTGTCCTTTTTTGTGCAAACGAACTGACAATTTAAGGAAGCACATGTTCACAAAACATCAAATCGGTCGAAGAATAAGGTGACCATAGAAAATGGATTAGACTTATTTACTAATCTGCAATATTGAATAATATTAAAAAATCAAACAAATATTGAATAAAAATAATAAACAGTACAAGTAATACTATTTTTATAAGCGATACCAATAATTAAACTTTTAGTTACATAATCGAGGACATGATTTTTAAATTCATTGTTGCCAACCATACCCAAGTAACATTTTAAGTTCCTTTAGGATTATATTCTCAAGGTTAGTTATATAAAGGTTTAATAAATGTCTCATTGGTATCTTACAGTGTTTTGATTTATATAAGTGTAGCGTTGGTTACTTATTTGTTGGTTATCTATTACTAATAGTAACCTTGAAATGTTGTTTATCACTTTCCTTGTAAAACTAGAGGTTCTTGTTACTAAAGGTTTCATAATAAGGTTTTATAAAGGTGTGCACATCTATTTTTATATAACTTCTGGTATTAGGTTTTATAAAGGTACGCAAGATATACACTATATAATTAAAAGTGTTATTAAGAACCATTATGTAACCAATAAGTTTTTTGCACCTTTCAAATGTTTGCATGCTTTATATAACCTGAAGTTACCGAATACCAAACCTAATGACATAACCTCAAATTTTTAATATGATCAAAACAAATAATATATTAGCAAGCAAGCAATTCGGTATTATAATGAATAATAAAAAAATAAACTGGATAAAACACAAAAATACATCTACGTTCAAAAGAAATTTTCTTCAGAATTTAAAAAAAATAGGAATAATCCAAACCTCATTCAAACTACATCTACCAATATTGAAAACCAACATGCAAATTTACCATCCACAAGCAGAGATCAGGATCAACCTGAGATATTTCCAACAGAAAGTTGCCAAAACGATCAGGAACAGGAAGATGTCTGGTTAAGGGAGAGAGAAGAAGGAGCCTCTATTAATGAATGTGGTAAGGAGGAAAGACTTCGGTGTAACATAAGAGAATGAGCTCTGCGCTTTAACATTACACATTCTGCACTTAAAGATCTTTTTTCTGTAGTAAATTCATTCATAACTGTTCTACCAAAGTACCAAAGGACCCTAGAACTCTTTTTTAAACTCCTACCACTTTAAATATAGATCAAATTGAACCAAAACCAAAACAGTATTATTTCAATTTTATGAGGTTATGTTTCGTTTTCTGCACATTTTCTGTCAAATTGCTGTAATGTAAAACTTCGTTCGCAGGGAGTCGCTACAGTCGACACCACGGGTTACATAAAGGTTTTCTGAGTGACTAAAAGTAGCCATAAACACCCCGGCATTTATAATGGTGATTTGTATTACCTTTAGTTGTATAAAACACTAAAATTGGTGTTTTAAATAACCCAACCACATTTACGCAACCTTAAGTAACCAAATTTATATAATGGTTGACGAGTATGTTATAGACCCTAAAGTAATATATAGCACTTTAAATATAATGGACGCCATTATTATTGATGTTTGCATTAGTATTGTTGTCTTTATTTTTGGCTGCAATGAGTATTTCTAAGATAACGTTGAAAACTGGTACAAAACTATATTTTGGCCAGTTGCCAGTTCTATGTATTAGTTTCTATGTATCTATAGTTTCTATCTTCTATGTATTAAAAAAGTTGTATGTTCTATTATTTATATTAATAAATTAGACTTTCATTACAAAAATTGTACCATATTTTTTTTGTTTATAAAAAAATCTATTAAATAAGTCTGCTTTTGGGGGCGCATGTGTTTTTTGAAGGTAAAATTGATTTTCACACATTAAATTAAATATCGCAAATGTATTTAGTACTCTGGCTAGGCACAATAGATTTTTATTAAGCCAGTAATTTCTATAAAGTAATTTGGATAACGCAAACGCTTTTGTAGGCTATGACAGGGATGACATCATTTTGTCTCTTTTTTTGTCTGGTCTGGATTATCTGCGTAGGACAATTTTTATGTTAAAAAATTAGGCAAATATTAAAGTAGTTAGTCAGAAAGAAACAAGTTTATTTTCAAAAAACGCACATGCGCGATATTTCTACAGATGTCTGGAAACCTTCTCAACACCACTATATAACTATTATACATATACCCTTTTTCAGTTTTATAGCAGTAACTCGATAGGATATATAAAGGTGTTGAGAAAGTTTTTAGGACTTTGGTTGCACACCCTGAGTGTTAAGGGTTACCATAGGAACAGTTATAAAATGGACCGTTTAGGGCATATAAATGTTATATAATGGTTACCAATAACTCACGATAACTATTCTAAACTGTATTCAAATTCAAAATGCACCAGTATAAACAAATGCACAGTGCGTGATCAGCACGTGTCAGGCGAGAGCCAGCGGCGAAATCTACCCTGATTGGCCGGCCGGCCATAGAGCCGTTGAGGTAGGCGGTTGAAATTTTTTACAGGGTCGGCTTGCATAGCGCGTTAAGGAATACTGTTTGATAAAATAAAAATGCTTTAAAAAAAACCAAGCGAGTAAAATCAGAACGGTCAACTATTTCAATAATAATTGTTGATCACTTCGTACAAGTTACAAGTTACAAATAGAGAAAATAATATTTATGTTTGCATAAAATATTTTTACAATTAGTACACACGTCCCTACTACAAAAAGTCAAAAGTTAGTTATACTTTAAAACGGATAATACAGCAGGCTACGAAAGCAAGTTAAATCTAAGTGCTTTTTTGTCAACTAAAATGTATTAAATTATGTTATAATGCAATTGGTCTTTTAAATGATGTAAAAACGTTTGCATCATTGCATTTTTTCCAAGTAGTATTATAGAAACAGATACCTATTTATACAGATATTCAGATATTGCTGTCAATAATGGAAATAAAAAAAAATCAGTAGTATCAAATAAAAAGATAATTATTTTAAAGGACAAATTAAGCCCTTTTAAAAAAAAACAAATTTGTTAAAATCGGTCGTGCCAATGAGTAATGTAATATTTTAATATTCCTGCCCCCTTCCCATCACTTTATTTCTCTAATTATATGCAGTTTGATAATAATTAAAGGTAATTATTGAGAAAACTGGAAATCGCGTCCGATTTTCACCAAAATTGGTATACACCCTATTTTGAGGTCGTAGATTACGAATCTGAACATTTTTCCTGACGGTCTCTTACCGTTTTTCAGAAAAACGGAAAATAGTTTCAACATAGAATTTTACTTAATTTCTCATATTTTTAAGGTTTTCTAGCACATATTTCGTTCGGTATTCACTAAACAATGAGGTTTTTGCTATTTTCTGTTACTTTTTTTAACCAATTCTATGCATAATAGAGGAAAATTTGCAAAATAAATTTATAAACAATCTGAAAATGTTGGGTTATGTGTTTCTGGCATTTAAAGCAACGTTGACAATGCTGAACGTAAATTTAGCGTGTTTTTTTCGCTCATTCTGGGATTACGAAAGGCGGTTGTCTGAGGAACGGCTCCTTCCCATAACTGCTATTTTACCAATGAGATCTGACTATTTATAACCACGAAGTGGCACGAAAGAGTTTTGTTTGCATTGGTTACAACTTCTATGCGGAGGGTGTTAATATTTTTTTGTTATATTATATAAAAAAAAGATCAACCCCCTCCGCAAAGAAGTTGAAACCAGTGCAATCAAAACTCTTTCATGCAAGTTCGTGCTTATAAATAGTATTTATATAACTTCTTTGCGAAGAGGTTTAATCTTCTTTTAATATAATATAACATAAAAATATCAACTCCCTAAGCATAGAAGTTGAAAGCAATGTAATTAAAACTCTTCCGCGTAACTTTGTAGATATAAGTATATTTAACTATTGTCAAATCTCATAATAGGTAATTTATTTAAAATCCCTAATCACCCGAAAAAATTCAAATATTTGTCTCTCTCATTATATAGGAGAGAGAAAGAAGAATATATGAAATGTCAAACTTCCATCTGGTCTCAATTTTCTTTGTTATTTTGTTAAAAAAAGTGTTTTTCAGTAAAATTTTAGACATTTTTCAATCCTGAATCAAGTGTGGCTTTTAGATAAACTATGATATAATATAAAAATATAGTGAAATTATTACTTTATAGGGCTGAAATAAAGAAAAATTCAATGTTGAAATTATTTTCCGTTTTTCTGAAAAACGGTAAGAGACCGCTGGTTGGTTAGGTTTGGTCAGATTCGTAATCTACGACCTCAAAATAGGGTGTATACCAATTTTGGTGAAAATAGGACGATTTCCAGTTTTCCCAATAATTACCCATTTATATCATATAAATTTCTATCATAAAATATAAACAATAGTAAAAAGAAATCATAAAAATATACATAATAATTTTATGATTTGAAATATCCGACCTTAGTGCGGTCCTGGTTATATTACTACAGCGTTCCTGTTCACGTGCTTGCCTCATGTCTCTGTTTACGTTTGGTGCATCTTGGGGTTGAATTTACTATAGATGCGTTTAAGTTGTATAATATGGTGTTGGGATGCGTTTAGGTTGTATAATATGGTCTTGTTAATCCCCTTTAAGTTTTCGTAAAAAAGCTGGTATGAACTATAGGTTTGTTATAGCCTATGACAAAAAAACCTTCTCTAGAAGGTGCAAGACCTTGTCGTTGGTAGGAAAGCTCTCAATCAGGTGCTGGGGGGAATCCCCTCTAGCTCTTTGGCTTGGTTTAAGGAGCATCTCGTTTTCTTGTTCCTGGCTGTAGTGTCGTGGCCAGTATAGTGATGGGAAAAACCTCGGGAAAAACCGACTAATTTCAATAATTGAGTACTCGAGTTTCAAGCGATTTCAATACTCGAGCGATCGCTCGTATTTAAAAATACGGTTAGGTTAGGTTAAATAAAGGAGGATGATTATTTCAAAGCATTGACGATGTAGGTTGTAAAATTTTGTCACTCAGATACGCAACGGATAACGTTGTATAAATTTGCTACCTGCAATGTATGTAGCAAAGTCGCTCAGCTTTTTATCGAGTGTGTTGCATTAAAATCCGATTTCAATTAATTTCATTCTAGGATCGCTCCCGTTCGTCGCTTGTAACTCGTCACTTGCATCGCTCGTTCATAATCGAGCGATGTCGGTTATTTCAGTAATCGAGTACTCGAGCGAATATCCGCTCGAGTTATCCCATCACTAGTGGCCAGTAAAAAAATGTAGTAAAAAAATGTAACCAAGAAATTGTACGAAAACATCCCATACAGCACGTCCAAATGAAATTACGTTTCTACAAGAGAGACACATGAGAAATAAAATATGTTAAAGTTAAAGTGCTCATCTAGTTCTGACGTATACATATGAGATATAGTCTGTCCAACGAGAAGATCCTTGACAGTGATAGATGTGTCTGTCATTTTAATTTCAAAGTAGTTTATTTTATTTTAGAAAGAAATAAGTTGGTACAACTGGAACGCATAGCAGGATATATTTAAAATTTGATTGACAAGATGACAAGTGATTACTTCAAAATATTGTGAAAAAACTGTATAAAACTGAAAAAATGTAATCGAGTTATTTTATTTAATAAAAACGGTATGTGTTAATACAAAACAAACAAGAACAAGACACTACATACCAAAAAAAAATAAAAAAGAACTATTATTTACTTTCAAGCTTTATGAAACTAACCGCATTTATGATTATATTTATCAATATAACTTATGTACAAATACAAATTTGTAATATTCCACAGGAATAAATAAAACAACATAGGTAAATAAAACAAACTATTTTAATAATAATAACACCTACCAAATTTTTATACCTTACAGGTTGATTAATTAACTTTAATCTTAATTTTTTTAAACCAGTACCTTTTGACATTATTTTTCTGCAGTACTAAAATCCATTATTTACCTCTCGTGTGATGTCGATATTTTACAGCTACTCCAGTTTTTAGTATGTGTTTAGTTTGATCCTTCTACCATATACGAGATGCACTTATCTACGACGAAATGGTATACAAACTTTATCGATGGCAACTTCATTGGTGTATAAGACTTTCTGCCTGGGTAGCGAGTATTAACCATAAACTGTGCTCTGGGTCTACAGTTAATTTTCACTCGATTTTTCCTCCACTTGACTTCAAAAGACACAAAACACACGTAATAATACGAATCAAAATGCATCATCTTCCAAAACGCAGGGTATGGCGTAAGGTATTAAACAAAAGTTGACAGAAAATTATAACCTATAATTTGGCAAGACTTTGACAAGCGTCAAAAATGACAAAAATCTAAAGGCGAGTTCATACGCGTCGGCGTCCGTTTGTCGTTCATCGTTCCGTCAAACCAATAAAAATGAAATACGATCTGTCATTTTTTAAATAAACCAATAAAACTGGTTAAAAACAACAAGACACGACGCATGACGGATTTATATTTAAACCCATCCATAGATAACTTAAAAATTATTAGAAACTTTTTTTAGTAAAATAAATAGATTGGTATGGGACGTCATCTGCTTTTCTTCTGTCATCGTCTGTCGAAATCTTACCTGAGAAAAAAAACAGAGTATACACGCAGGTTTATATTGATAGAATTGTATGATACAGCGTTTACTAGTTGTATACCGTATGCACTCAAGATTCTAAAGAGTTTTATATAACGTAACACATAATTATTCAATAGTTGAAATCCGACGTCGGTACATGAGACGTACAAGGTATATGTCATACGTGTGTGTGATACTTTGTATCATAGTTGTGCCATTATACACACCTTGTAAAAGTGCGATGTAATTATTACATACAGTGTGTCAATTTTAAAACTTCCCATCCTTAATATCTTTCTTGCAGTTAAAAATATGAAAAATCGGAAAAACACGTCAATTTTATTAGTAAGGGGGACACTTTAGATGAATATTTTTGGCCTTTTTCTTTCAACCCCTTAGGAGGGGTAGATGTCACCCTTGCAATCTCAAATGGGAATGGGGGTCAAGTGGCACAACGTTTTAAAGGGCATTTAATTCTCTTTTCAGTGGTATCCTACTTTGTGGCTTTTTGTCCAGATATTTCCGAATAATCGCGTTTCAAAGTTGCAGAAACAATTAAACATGCCTGCCTTGAGATTTTCGTTTTCAGGCTAGTGTTTACACAAAAATTATTGCAGTAGATCTCCTTGTAGTACAAATGACTAGAAGATTAGGTGGTAACAAGGACGTAGCCATTACATTTTTCTAGGGGGTCGAAATTCGAAATACTAATAAACAGAAAACATCATAAACATTAACGTTTCCTTTCTCAAATTCGAATGAATGGCAACCTGTAATCAGTTTCACAGGAGGATTTGTTAACATTCCAGCAGGACGGTGCTATAGCTCATTATTTTTTTGCGGTCCGACAGTGGTTAAACGAGAGATTTCCGGGTACATGCATTGGCAGAAGGAGACTAATTGAATGGCTTTCAAGATCACTGGTGGGCACGCCGACCAAGTCTGTGGATCAAGTGTTTATTTTATTGCTCGGAAGCTCCAGAAAGATACTTGTCCAATACACAATTTACCAAGTTTTGACTCCAATGAGTTTATATTCTCGTATAATGACAAATAAGTTAGTCCTGCAATATAATTTGTTTGATTTGGAAGCAATACAAATCTAAATGGGAACATGGCACTTCGAGGAACTTCTTAACCTAACACTTGGTAAGCTATCGATGGATCAATAAACATAATATATTATGTTTTTAATATTCAATATTCAGTTTTATATACAATTTAAAGGTGAGATTGTTAATCTGGAGATAAAATAAGAGCAAAGTTCAACGGGGTGGTCGATGAATGAGTATGCAAACAAACCAACTACTTGAAGGAAAAAAGGGGGAAAATAACTGAAAGAGGTGCATGGAGAACGTGGCGATATACCAGTGTTTACAGTTTTAGTATGTTTTTATAGGTACTTATATTTTTAATACATTTTCATACAAATTCTGTTATTTTACAGTGTTTTCTTACTTCTGTTTTCCGTAGTGTGAAAAATAGCGTTCCTTGATAGAAAGAAATATAAAAATTTCATTTTTTAACCGCTTATTCTATATTATAAGGAAGGAAAATGGGACATTTAATACAGAAGAAAAATGGAACCATTTTAGAGCTACTTCTCTTGAGCTGACGAGGTACTGAAGGAAGATAAAAGTTTCGTTCTAAGAAACACAATTGGTATCACTGAACGAAAAGGCAACAAAACTTTTATTATTTCCTGAATTAGTTCATGAGAAGTAGTTTTATCTAGGACAATATATATACACGGAGCAAAATACATACGTATACACGCGGTAGTCACAAATGCAATGTGTAAACAGAGTTAAAACGTAATACACAAGCATTGTGTATCTTATAGCATACTGTGAATCCCTTACTTTGTGTATACGTAAATGTTATACTGTGGCTACATTGTGAGGCGGACGTTTAACCCTTGTACGTACGTGTTGAACTGCAATGTGTAAACGTAACACATTTACATGGATGGAATTGTGTCACCATGTGCCTACATCTAGTAATGTAAGCACATCGTAAATGTGATTTGGTGTGGTATATAGGATATAACGATGCCGGATGGGACTATCCTGTCCGTATTTTTTGATGGATGGGGCTACCCTATCCGTATTTTTTGATAATTTTAGATTGATTTTTTTTTTATTTTAGGCGGTAATGAATGTGCAGGTTGTGGAAAAAGATACAAACATAAATCACACTTGAGGAGACATGTAAAGTACGAATGTGGAAAGAATCCTTCGTTTTTCTGTCCCTACTGTCAATTTCGAGCCAGAAGAAAAGACTATTTCAGAGAACACTTGATCAGAGCTCATTCTGTTGATCATTACAACAGCATAAAACATACTTTCTAACACTCGGTGTTATATCTGTAGGTATTTAGTTATGATTTTTGGACGAGGGTTAAAAATATCGTTTTTATGGAAGGTAATAGAATGACATAACGTATGTCAACTTTTGACATTTTCGCTTAAAAAATCGTATTTAAATTTCAATCTACAGTGCCATGGCTGTGTTAAAAACACTAATTTTTAATCGATGAGCCTTGGGAAAATAGATTTGATCGTCTAATGTTTTTCGTGTCTTGTCCTACCGGTTAAATGATGCCCGAATCGTATTTTTAATCATACCTCAATTTTTGCAAATGGAACTAGGGTGGCTCATTAGCCTATTTGGAAAAAGTTTTTTTTTACAAATAATTTGGTAGCACACACTTGATATTTCGAGTCAAATTGTTTTTATGAACCGCAGGTTACAATTTCAAGTAAACCATATGCGAAAATTTGACATATGATATGTCATTCTATTCAGAGTGTCATTTTTATCGAATAAGGTAAAAAAATACCGAGGGTGTCGTTTAAAATCAAAAGTTGTAGTCATTACCGGTGAAACAGGAAGTGACCAAAAACAATTGAATACGTCAATCAATCCTAATTTATGTCATATACTAACATACCAAATGTCGTTTTTTTTTTATCTGAATAAATAAAAAAAGTTATAGAGGTGAGCCATTTTTGAAACGCACCCGGTATAATTTGTTTAGTTTATTGTTTGTTGTTTATTTGTTAAATAATAAGTACAGTTCTTGTAACTGATTTATAAATTATTTTCAATTTTATTTAATTATTGATCTCATCTATTAGTCTAATTTGTAATAAAGCAAGAATTTCAAAATAACATAGTGTTTTATTAAAAATAGCGATGGGAACTATCGAATGAATTAGACTATCGAATGGTTAATGAATGAATGATTTCAACTATCGAATGGTTTTATTCGAATAAAATCATTCATTCATTTGTATACTAAAGCATATGTGACAACCTCGCCGTGCGACTAAATGGTTATCGTTGAGCCACGACTATCGAATGCTTTTGATAAATGAAATTTAGTATTCGTTTGATTTTTGTATGCGTCAGTGCATTATTAGTTCTTCCAAATTTTTATAACTTCGCCGTATAAATACTGTGCTATTTTTGCGTTTATTAAAATAGTTAAAATAAATGAAAAAAACATTGTGTGGTTTTCCGTAATCCGATCTTTCAATTATTTAATTTTATATGGTATATGGTCTATTTTTTAATGGGAAATTTTGAGAAGTAGCAATTTTTAAGAGAGATGAGATGAACTTAAAATTAATTTTAAAAATACATATTTGTATTTTAGATGTTTTAATAATATGAATTAGCTGAACTTAATAATCATATTTAAGTAATGTGGTTAAGTAAATGGCGTTATCGAACTCAAACTATGGGGTGAGAAAATTAAAATGAAAGTTTTACAGGTGCCAATTTTAAAAAAAAGTTAACGATTTTGTATTTTGTTTATGCTAATTCTCTTACATGTAGTTTTTTGCGAAGAAATATTTCATTTATTTTTTAAAGTAAATGCCAGTAAAAGTAAATATAATTTTTAAATAGAAATATGAAGCACCTAATATAAATAATTTTGATTTCTAATTTTTTATTTATATTTTCGTTCCATTACACTGCATGATTAGAAAATTAATAAATGTTTATATTTCATGATTTTAAAATTTGTTGTTAATATAACAAATTAGTTCTGTAATTATTATTATTCAATAAACCAACGTTGCCAAAAAATTTAGAGACTATATTATTTTTAAATAGGATCTAATATAAATAATTTTGACATCTAATTTGTTGTTTATATTTTGCTAATACTTAAAAAAAATATTTATATTAAATCATTTTAAATTTTGTTGTTAATAGGTATAACAAATTATTACTGTTATTATTATTTATTAAACCAGTCTTTGCTTAAAAACATTAAAAATCATTTTCTTACATCCAAAATAACAAGTATTATTGCAGTGTAACAACAGGATATTAATAAAAAAAAATTCAGAATATATAGACATACTATCCCTAACTAACTAAAGCCAAACAATAATATTCTTTGCTAATATCAACTAATACCAAAATATGGCAACAGCGCCCTTCATAATGTATTTTCTGTGTAAATACTAGCACCTCAATAAAAAAAATAATGTGTCGTTATCTATATCTGACTCCGCAAAAAATCAAAGATGCCGGCTTCTTTCATAGCATTGCCACCGACCGCTGTCGGGTTTGGAAACCTACGTCGCCGGGCGACAACTAAAATTCAGTTAATATTTTTTATAATCGATCCTGACGAATAAATGAATTTCATAAATGAATGAATTTTATAAATGAATGGTTTATGCTGCCGAATTACTAGAATACAATATTTCAAGGCAGATGACGGATCTATTCGATAATTTTTATTCGAATAGTTTTAAATGAATGTTTTCTTACTAACTATCGAATTATTCGAATGAATTGCAACTATCGAATGTTTCGATAGTATTCATTCGATAGTTCCCACTACTAATTAAAAATGTCAAAATTTCTCTAGATATTCGAGAAAATCGAGAAATTCTGCTCGACAATTCTTGTGCCATGAAATATAAAAATCGAGAAACCAAAAACTTTAGTGGCGCTATTATACACTATACAGGGTGGTCCGAACTCTATTCCCTGAAAAGTCTAAATAACTTCTGAAATAATGTCAATATTTGCATGAAAATTGGTATCTGGGAGTTTTTTGACATGAGAAAATGGATTTTGATGTCAACATGACGCCTATTTGTAAGGGACGCTACCTATATGTGTTTTAACTGTTTTGAAGGGTAACAACTTTTCGTCCGTACCTGTATAAAACTATATAGTGAAAAAATATACATTTCCGTCATTTTTTTCGTAAATAATATCTCTTAGTAAAAATGGCTACGAGCAACCGTTCTCAAGATATTTAGAATTAAAATAGTCAATACATGTCATTATTTACAAAAAATAAACATGTTGAGTAGATAATTATTTGATTACAGTTGAGGGTTGGAACCTTTGGTGTTACTACTTAAACTACTGAGTTTATAATCATTTGCTGATGATGCTAACATGGTTAGCGAAATGCGCGTCCAGTGTAAAAGTAAAAGTGTTTTGGTGTATTGTGGTGATTTAGTGTTTTTATTTTGCAGATAATTATTTGACTGAAATAATAAATTTGGGAACTTTTTATTTTTTTAAATTAATCATAATTTTTTCTTCCAAAAAATCATGATAAAACAGTTTCTATTGAACTTTTGGCACAAAAACATTTCAAATTTATGATTTCAGTCTAATAACTATTCAGTCAACATGTTTAATTTATGTCAATGATGACAGGTATTGATATTTTCGATTCCAAATATCTCGAGAACCATTACTCGGTAGTGATTTTTACTAATAGACCTTTTTTACTCACTAGTTTTATACAGGTACAGACGAAAAGTTACAATAATACAAATAGGTGTCATATTGACACCAAAATCAAATTTCCCATGTCAAATAACTCCTAGACACCATTTTTCATCCAAATATTGACGTTATCTCAGAAATTATTTAGAATAAATCGAAATAAAAATGAAACTTCTACACCCTGTATCTGTGAAACTAAGCATTTTAGGACATACATTGATACGAACTTTTTTATCTATTTTTATCTGCACAATATGCTGCCGAAGTTTCCGGAATATAGTTCGGACCACCCTGTATATCTGGATTATGTCATTTATTTCTACAGAAGATATTCAATATATAATATGACTAAATACATTAAAATTTCAGATGTTTATAAATGTCCGGATTGTGGCAAGACATACACATACGAAACGCACTTCAGCCGCCACAGGCAATATGATTGCGGCAAAACCCCTAGATGTAGGGATTGTGGCAAAACATACAAACACAAAACGCATCTGAGTCGTCACAGGAAGTATGAATGCGGCAAAACCGCCAACTTTTTTTGTCCATACTGTACATACCAAGGGAGAAGAAAAGACCATTTCAGAGAACATGTTATTAAAACTCATTCTGTCCATCAATACAATGAAATAAAACATACTTTTTAACACTAAATGTTGGCTGAAATTATAGGTTATTTAGGTATTATTTTTCGATCGTGTTTGGGCGAATATCTTAGCAAACAAATGAGCAACCAAAAAATAAATAAAGATATTAGTGCAGAAAATTGATTTATTTCATTTAAATAATTTGTTAGACAGTTAGCCAAAAAATGTCTCTTCAACTTTGTTGAATGATCCCGGGTTGATATAGTAGAAGTATAAGACTAAATAAATTAAAATTTTAGATACTTATAATTGTACGGATTGTGGCAAAATATACAACTACAAAATGCATTTGATGAGGCACAGGAAATACGAATGCGGCAAAAGCGCTAACTTTTTCTGCCCATACTGTATATTATCGTCATGTATAAAACAGCATTTTTTTCCATAGCGAGTCACGTTTTCAAAAATATTCAGAAATTGTTATTCCAAGGAATTTGTTACGAATAAAATATTGTGCTGGATTGGCGTTGGTTTCTATGTAATTTGACAAATAAATAAAGCTGTCTCATGGTACAAAGAATACAAGGTATGATCGATAGCGGCTCCAATTTCGTTCAGTTCGCGCATACCACCTGTGACGTCACTAGGTAAATAATGAATAAATAAAAAATAAAGGAAGTTGACAGGAGATCTGCATTTTTTGGGGTTATGGTTAAGAATTGTTTATTTTTAAGACTTTTTAGTTCGTTTAATTTAATAATTACTAAAACCAGCAGTTCCAAAAATATATTTAAAAATAATAATTATCTATTAACATGGATTTGGACGATAATAGGTAAGAATACTAAATTTACTTTTATATTCGATATAAAACTGTTTATTAGGTTTTTAGTTTGCGATGTTTATGGCAATAAATTTTCATGTTCATTGCTTGCTTGTGAATTCACATGAGGACAGAGATGAGGATATCTATGGAAAAGTAACCACAAGAGGAATTGTTACATCATTTAAAAAATATTGGGAAGTTTATTGTTTCCCATCGAAAAGTAGAAAATGCCAATGCAGATGAATGTATTGTAATTGTGATAGAAGTAAAACTTTCTAGGGTGAAGTTTATTATAATCAGTGGAAGTAATTCCAAGGGTGACGTTTATTATAATTAGTGACCTGTGCTTCTTTTTATATGTAGATGTTTCTGGTTTTGAGAATAAATCTGTTGAACGAACCCCAAAATTTAGAGGAAGTATTTGCATACCCACAATATGCCCATCAAGGATTATATAGCTCAAATTTCCTTTAATGGTAGGCAATTATTCAATGCAAATTAACTTTTTAAGTGACTGAAATATTAAATAGTTTACAATATGGTATATCACTAAAAATATATTACTTTTAGGTACAGTTAGGGCCCGATACATTTCAAAAAGTAGAATATTATTTTATATTAAATGAGGTATTGTACCAACAATCAATTTATAATAATACGGGAGATTAAAAAATAACAGAATAAAGAGCTCTTTTTTTATACTACAAAAATAAACTATAGAATACAACAGTATTTAAAAAATAAATAAAAAGTTATGTCCCAGCCGAGATTCGAATTCCGGTCTCTCGCTTCCTAGCCCGACTCCTTACGCACTGCTCCACAGTAACTTGCTTAGCGATAATTCAATGACGATTATCTTGACGATTTGAACTGGCGCGCGAGGCGTGCTGACCAATAGCGCCTGTTATCACCTGTGACGTAGCGACCAACCTGCGCAATATCATACCTTGTATACTTTGTACCATGAAGCTGTCTCTTTAGTTTTGAGTCAATATTTTTTAATTTTCTTTCGTGTCGATTGCTGATTGAATTGGAGCCAGAAATGGTTCAAAACGAATTAAGTAAATTACCAACAGATATTCAGGCTGAGGCGACAAACGCCATATCCAAACTACTTCCATTTAAATCCCGAATAACTTATGAAAAGGAATACAAAAATTTTAAAAAATGGAAGCAATTAAAAAACGTGCGAGAAGAAATAAAGTTTTTAACCTATCCTCGCTGTTAAAGTATCATTTAATCTACCCTTCCTGTTAAAGTACTTTTTTATCTACTATTTTTGATAAATACAGGGTGTCATTGAATTGGTGTAAAAAAATCAGGGGGTGATAGTACTCCTAAAAATAGTAAAAAAAAGTTCCTATAAGTATAGGGCGGAAAATGCATATTAAGGGAGTTAGGGACACTGAAAGGATGAATTTAAAAAACGGTTGTTTTGAAATTGTAGGCTTAAAAAACGAGATAAAATTTCGAAAAAAAATCTTCTGCCATAAATTTTGACCCTAAATCAAATGGTGATACTGAAAAATTATTTGGAAAAGCGGAAAGGGTAGTATTTGCAAGGGTAGGGGGTTGTTTCGTGAATAACTTTTTTGAGGTTATTTTTTTTGCAACGTGGGTTCATTTTTTGAAAACTACATACTTTTTCCTACAATAGAGGTACTCTTGTTGCACATCGTAAATTTTAGGCAAAGCGTTTGCTCCGATGGGTTGCTATAGTCTATAAAATGAATAACTTTGAACTTTGACCGTTATTTTTTACCAACATGGCAAATATAAAATCCCTCTGTCAATAAAGTTACTGATATTCTTTAAATTGAGTGACTGAACGAATCATATAGGTAACTCTTTTTACTTTCGTGAAATAGAAAAAGAAAATTATAAAACAAGTCACAAGTCTGCCTCTTCTTGCAAAAATCAACACGAAATGGCATAATTGTCAAAAGTCAAATGTCATCAGCTTTTGACATTTCTAAATATCAGACCAATGCCGTCTCTAATAGAAGAGCCTCGGAGGGAGATTTATGACGTCACGCTAGTTAGATACTATGGATTAATAAATATGTTGTAGAATACATGGAAAACAAAATTATTCCTCGTATTTTTGGTTTGTATTTTAAAAATGATATAGTTTACATGAAATATACATAATATACAGTTAATAAATACAATATATTATATACCTATTTATAGCAATAAATACATTGGTAAATAAACTATGAACCATACAAATGCAGCAAATGTTTTACAATATACAAATAATGAAACATAAGATATTGGGTAAAATGTAAAATATATTTTAAATTTTGGTTTGAAAATCGATTTAATTTAACAAAAAAACATTCAATATCTACTAATAGTGATGTATTATTATTTGCATTCACAAAATTTATATGTATATTTGGCAAGTATCAATGTTCGAAAAATTATATTAGCAAATAATACAATATCATAGAAAAAAAGGCGTCAGCCATGGCTATGAAATAAAGATCGCTGTCATTTTATATGTAAAATTATTCTAAAATTTTTGATTTTCTTGGGATTTAGGTTCGGGAAAAACGCTGATTAAGTTTTCATTTGGTTTTTCATTATTTTTGTTGGTTTAAAATGAAAAAAAAATCATATGACACAGCACGGCTATAATGTTAGCCGAAACGTTTATTTTAAACCAAAAAAAAAATAATGATAAAAAACAAATGAAAACTTAATCAGCGTTTTTATTTATTAACTGTATATATATTTTTTATATTAACTTATTTATATTAACTGTTTATATTAACTGTATAATATATTATGTATATTTTATGTAAACTATATCATTTTTAAAATACAAACCAAAAATACGAGGAATAATTATGTTTTCCATGTATTCTACAATATATTAATCTGCAGTATGTAACTAGCGTGACGTCATAAATCTCGCTCCGAGGCTGTTCTATTAGAGACGGCATTGCGTCAGCATGGCCGCAAGTTGCTAACCTAACAAAATTAACACTAGAAAAGCCCGCGGGAACTGTCAAATTCAAAGTTATTCGTTTTACAGACTATAACTGGTTAATCAACATAAACTTATGAAAGTTATGGCAGTTCAGAAGTAACCAAGTAGTTCTCAAATACTTAATTAAAGAATCAACATTTCATGATTTTTAAAACATCTTATTGCTTTAAAAACGAAATAAACTTTTTTGGTTTTAAAAAAATTTGGTTTGATCAGTGCCGATTTATACTGAAAAGCAACTACGGCAACGCATTACTGATTGTTCCGATCAAATTCGGACAACACCAAGGATATTCCACAGGGTATCTACGCAGATCGTAGAGAAGAAGATCAGATGTCTACATTGAAATGAATAGTGGTCACTTTGAACATTTACTATGAATGAATCGAGAACCATTACTCGTAGTGATTTTTACTAAGAGACCTTTTTATTCACTAGTTTTATACAGGTACAGACGAAAAGTTACAATAATACAAAGAGGTGTAATATTGACACCAAAATCAAATTTCCCATGTCAAATAACTCCTAGACACCATTTTTCATCCAAATATTGACGTTACCTCAGAAATTATTTGGAATAAATCGAAATAAAAATGAAACTTCTACACCCTGTATGTGCGAAACTAAGCATTTTAGGACATATATTGATACGAACTTTTTTACCTATTTTTATCTGCACAATATGTTGCCGAAGTTTCCGGAATATAGTTCGGACCACCCTGTACAGGGTGAGTCAACGATAGAGTAAAGTCCATTATCTAATTTGTTTCGAGGTTTACAAAGAAATGTTAAATATAAAAGTTATAGGGAAGGTTAAGATACACATTTTAAAATTATTATAGAGTATACAGGGTGCTTCAAAAAGTGTGGCGGCTATATCATATGTCTTTTTAAATGCAACACCCTATTTTTTATTTTATTTTTAGATTCTGCGTAAAATTCTATAACTTTTTTTTATATAATGTTATATACCTAAAATTAATAGTTATTGTAATATTTAAATTTGTTTATACAAATGGTAAATTGCAGTGTCGCAAAAAATTGTCAGTGGTACCATTGTTTCTGTTGTTCAAATACCAAAATTTGGTATGAGAGTTCTATACAGATTAAAAAGAAGATATATGTTAAGATATTTTAGTTAAATGCTACAGGGTGTTTAAAATATATTTATGAATTTCAACTATTTAAAATTAAAAAATCTCAGATTTTTTAAATGGTACACCCTATATGTTTTCATTTTTTCTGATAGATTTTGCAAAACGCTTCAACTTTTATTAAGTATGTCATATACCTATTTTTAATAGTTTGCGATTTATTCCATTTTTTTTCTATTTTTACCCTAAATTTTAATACAATTACGCTATAACATCATAGTTGCTGTGACAAAACAAAAATATTTATTACTTATTTTTAACAAATAGTTTAATAGTTAGTTACAATTGTTATTATTAATTAATATTAATTAACTTTACTCAAATAAACTAAAATCGTAGTCGTGGATGTCTTGGTGTATTTCTATATTATGAAAGATGACACTTGGATTTTCCGTCGGGGCGAATAGCCGCGATTAGGGTAATACCGAGGGTAATACTAACTATATTACCGAGGGGTGTCTCACTATTGGAATTACCTGTACATTTTCTTGGCAGCCGCTGGCAGTCATTGGCAGTCTTACGGCAGTCGCCTATAATAATTACATGGCAATCATTGGCAGTCGCTTGGCAGTAAAACGATATGTTGGCAGTACATGTACATTTTTTACCCAAGTGTTACCCCTCGTATATTACCTAATTGTTGACGACATTATTGATATTGAAATTTTCTTCGACATACAGTAATTTTTTTTTCTCGTAGTAATTCTGGTTTATAATTCATTTCATTAAGTCAATATTACTACTGCCCCGAAACCGTTCATTACACACTGAAAATATTATAATATAATATAATATGAAAATGTTTTCTAGATAATCTACATCTATTCTTATAGTACTTAGCAAAGTACTATATAATATATAGTACTGAACCAAAAATATGTTTATTTTGGCTTGTTCGTGTACAGTACGTCTGTTCGTTCTGTAGCTACGGGGTATCCGTGAGAGGGGAAACGATATTTTCTCGATGTTTTTCGTAAAAAAATAGACGACGCCTCCCATCAATAAAAATTCAACAAATTTGCAAGTAGCCAATAAAATGAGTGGGCGGAGCGATTTGCGGTGACGTACTCGTTAAGTCGACCTATAAAATAAATTGCTGTTTATTTAAATATTTTTTGTCCGCATTCCTTTCATAGACACAGATCCAGCAGACGTACTGTATATCAGTCACATTGACTAATCCGTTTTAAGGAAAATCTGAAACAATTACCTCTACCTCTACCATTTATACTTATTACAACAAATTAAACTACAATTCACCTTTTGTTCTTAACTTGCTTAACAGATGAAATTTTGATAATAATTATTATTTTTTGTCATGGCAACTATGATGTTATAGCGTAATTTTATTAAAGATATATGGGGAAAAATAGAAAAAATTGAAATAAATCGTAAATTATTAAAAATAGGTATATGACATACTTAATAAAAGTTGAAGAGCTTTGCAAAATCTATCAGAAAAAATCAAAATATATAGGGTGTACCATTTAAAAAATTTGAGATTTTTTAATTTTAAATAGTTGAAATTCATAATTATATTTTGAACACCCTGTAACATTTAACTGAAATATATATACATATATCTTCTTTTTAATCTCTATAGAACTCTCATACCAAATTTTGGTATTCCAACTTCAGAAACAATGGTACCACTGACAACTTTTTACCACACTGCAATTTAACATTTGTATAAACAAATTTAAATATTACAAAAACTATTAGTTTTAGGTATATAACATTATAAACAAAAAAGTTATAGAATTTTACGCAAAATCTAAAAATAAAATAAAAAGTACGGTGTTGTATTTAAAAAAACATATGTTATATCCGCCACACTTTTTTGAAGCACCCCGTATACTCCATAATAATTTCAAAATGTGTATCTTAACCTTCCCTATAACTTTTGTATTTAACATTTTTTTGTAAACCTCGAAACAAATGAGATAATGGACTTTACTCTATCGTTGGCTCACCCTGTATATCTGGATTATGTCATTTATTTTTACAGGAGATATTCAATATATAATATAACTAAATAAATTAAAATTTCAGATGTTTATAAATGTCCGGATTGTGGCAAGACATACACATACGAAACGAACTTCAGCCGCCACAGGCAATATGATTGCGGCAAAACCCCTAGATGTAGGGATTGTGGCAAAACATACAAACACAAAACGCATCTGAGTCGTCACAGGAAGTACGAATGCGGCAAAACCGCCAACTTTTTCTGTCCATACTGTACATACCAAGCAAGAAGAAAGGATAACTTCAGAGAACATGTGATCAGAACTCATTCTGTAGATCAGTACAACAAAATAAAACATACTTTTTGACACTAAATATTCTATCTGTGTGGGCTAAAATTTTAACTTAGCTATATTTTGGGGTTATACAGAGTGAGCCATAAATAAGTGCAAATATTTTCAGGGCTGGTAGATCTCGATAAAAGAAACATTTTTTTTCTTTACAATTTTTGAAAAAAGTCCTAAAAAAAATTTACTTTAAAAACCAAAAAAAATATTTTTTACTAAAATTTTCAGGACCACTGGATCTTTTCTAGATTTTCTTTCTTGTAAATTTAATCTGCTACCTATGTTGCCATATTATGAGGATATTGTGTTTTTTAACTAAAAATTTAAAAAAAATCCAAAAATTTTTTTCGCGAAAAAACCTCATAGGCGTGTTTCTGGGGTCGAAATATACTACACTTAAAAATATTTGCGCTTATTTAAGACTCAGCCTGTATAATTATTTTTTTAAGCTGATATTCTGTTACATTAATACTAAATAAATGAAAATTTTAGTTGGCCATAAGTGTACAAAGTGTGGCAAAAACTACAAACACAAAACGCATCTGAGTCGTCACAGGAAGTACGAATGCGGCAAAACCGCCAACTTTTTCTGTCCATACTGTACATACCAAGGAAGAAGAAAGGATAACTTCAAAGAACATGTGATCAGAACTCATTCTGTAGATCAGTACAACAAAATAAAACATACTTTTTAACACTAAATGTTATACCTTTTGTATATCTTTACTGTCCATTCGTGCCGATGTTTGTGGTTCAGTGTGACAAATAAATAAATAAATTCCTTTATTGTCAAAAAGTTTTTCAATTTGTAGACAAAGGTAAACTAACAAACAAAGTAAAAAAACAAGGTACACAAAACAAACAAACAAAAGATAATACAAAACATTATACAAATAATATTGTCAGTCTTATTGTTAAAATGAATATTTATAAATGTTTACAATGTCAAAGAACAAAAAAATAAAAATAATATTCAAAAATATTTAGCTAGTTTATAGTAAAATATCAATGACCTCTAAATAAATCAATTTCGATGTCATTAGTAAATATAGCAATAGCAAACATTAGACCAGTGTTTACAAGATCAAATTCGATTTTCAAAATAAGGCCCTTGTTGAGTGTACTAACACTTTTCGACCGTGACTGGGCGAATATTTAAACAAACAAATGAGCAACCAAAAACAATAAATAAAGATATTAGTACAGAACATGTTTTATTTATTTCATTTAAGTAGTTTGTAGTTATACAGTTAGCTAAAAATGTTTTATTCTTCAACTTTGTTGAATGATCCCGGGTTGATTAGTAGAAGTATAAGACTAAATAAATTAAAATTTTAGATACTTATAATTGTACGGACTGTGGCAAAATATACAACTACAAAATGCATTTGATGCGGCACAGGAAATACGAATGCGGCAAAAGCGCTAACTTTTTCTGTCCATACTGTATATACCAAGGAAGAAAAAAGGACCATTTCATACGGCATCTGATCGGAACTCATTCTGCCGAATATTACATAAAACATAATTTTTAACACTAAATATTATATCTATAAAAATATATTATAATTTATTTTTTAAACCTGATATTCAGTATAATACACCCTCTACACTATACGAAAAACAGTCCGAAGCAGGTTAAGATCGTGTTTCCTCGTCTAACTTTGTCTTATCTCGATTTATCTCGGCTTATCTCCGCTTGTCTTGACCTACTTTCATTGTTCAAAAACGTCTCAAAACTATTCGTGAAATTACTACCTATGTTGCCATATTATGAGGATATCGTATTTTTTAACTAAAAATTTTAAAAAAATCCAAAGAATTTTTCGCGAAAAAAACCTCATGGGCGTGTTTCTGGGGTCGAAATCTACTACCCTTAAAAATATTTGCACTTATTTAAGACTCAGCCTGTATAATTATTTTTTAAAATTAATATTCTGTATAAGACTAAATAAATAATAATTTTAGTTGGCCATAAGTGTGCAGAGTGTGGCAAAAACTACAAACACAAAACGCATCTGAGCCGGCACAGGAAATACGATTGCGGCAAAACCGCCAGCTTTTTTTGTCCATACTGTGCATACCAAGGAAGAAGAAAGGACCATTTCAGAGGACACCTGATCAGAACACATTCTATCAATCATTACAATAGAATAAAACATACCTTTTAACAGTAAATATTATATCTGTTGAAATTTTACTTCAGTTATATTTTGTTTTTATGTAATTTATTTTTTAATATTTTTAAGGTTATATTCGGTATAAGACTAAATAAAGTAAAATTTTAAATTTTATATGGTCATAGATGTATGAATTGTGGCAAAACGTACAAGAACAAATCGCATTTGACGCGGCATAAGAAATACGAATGCGCGAAAACTCCTAGCTTTGTCTGTCCATACTGTACATACCAGGGAAACAGAAAAGACCAGTTCCGCTTGCACATGATTCGAAATCATTCGTTGAAATAATACGAGGATTTAATGGAGAAATTATCTTATAACTAAGTACTGTAATACCCCGCTTTACGCGGTAGATATATACGGTTTGTAAAAAACCGCGTAAAGCGGGAATCGCGTATAACGGGTTCAAAAATGTATGTATTAATCTTTATAGGTTTCGTACTTTCCCAAAGAAGGAACAGTTAAGACCATACAATATATTTTATTTCTCAGAATATATTTTTGTTATAAATAAATAATATTAATATTAATTTAAAATAAATAATTATATTTTTTTAAATGTTACGTAATTGTAGGTACCTATATAGTAAAACTAGCGTGTACCCGCGACTCTATTCGCGTCGAATTAATCATTTGTAATGGTGATGATAAACCAAAGCAGGAATTTCCATTAACATACAAACTGGATCAAATTTTCTCACATTTATGTCAGCATGAGAAAAAACAATATGGCGATATTATTATATAACTTGGTAATATTTGAGGGGTATTTTCATCTCGTTGGAATTTGACTTTCGAAAAATCCGTTTGCCAAAAATAGGATTTTTACGTCAAGCAGTTTAAGCAGAATCGTGGTTAATCAATTATCTAACTTTTTGGAATACCCTGTATGATTTTTTAAAAAAATTCAAAATAGGTAATAAAACAAAATAAATTATTTGGCGTAAATTAAAAGCGTTTTCCCGAAAGACTAACCGTTTTTTAAATAACAAATATTGTAATATTTGAGGGGCGTTTTCACCCTCTTGGAATTTGAGATTCGAGAAACCCCTCCTTATCAAACCTCTACACCCCACAGTCAGTCCGTTTGTCAAAAATCAGCTTTAAACGTCAAGCAGTTTATGCAGAATCGTGATTACTCAATGATCATATTTTCTGAAACACCCTGTATAATTTTTTTTAAAAATCTTAAAATATGTAAAAAAACAAAATAAAATATACGTGTTTAAGCGTTTTTTCGAAAACTTGACCGTTTTTTAAATAAAATATTGTAATATGTGAGGGGTGGTTTCACCCCCTTGGAACTGGAATTTCGAAAAATCCTTTCTTATCGCACCTCTACACCCTAGAAGCAACCTGTATGCCAAAATTGAGCTTCTTACGTTGAGTGGTTTGAGCAGGATCGTGATTAATCAATGAGTTAGTCACTTAAGGATTTTATATATTAGTATAGATTACTCTTTCTAAAGCATGTAACTAAAGCATGAACTAATTCATTTTTTGTTTTTGACAATGGTTGCATAGAGTTTATTCCGCTGTCTTTTTTAATTTCTAACACCGTTCTAAATTCGATTTATAATTTTTAACTTAGTATTAAGGGTCATAATTTTACGCTCACTCTTACGAATAGACGACATACTAAGAACTGTAATTTAACGCCTGATATCAACTATGCGTCCTCTTAAACAAATCTATATAACTTATTTGGTTCTTGTAAACAGACTACACAAGGGTATACGCCGGGTTGGCGGTAGAATACCCTATTACCAATAACACTACCAGTTTTTTGCGTAATATTGAAACCGCGTAAATCGGGGTAGTTTAAAGCGGGACAGCGTAAAACGAGACAGCGTAAAACGGGACAGCGTAAAACGGGACAGCGTAAAGCGGGACAGCGTAAAGCGGGACAGCGTAAAACGGGGCAGCGTAAAGCGGGACAGCGTAAATCGGGACAGTGCAAATCGGGACAGTGTAAAGCGGGGTAGCGTAAAGCGGGATAGCGTAAAGCGGGATAGCGTAAAGCGGGGTATTACTTACAACAATGCTTCGCTTTACTCGGTAAATGCCGTCTATAAAAATTCGCGTAAAGTGGAAATCGCTTATAACGGGGTTCAAATGTGTATGTATTAATCTAATATAATTATAGGTTGTATACTTTCCCAAAGAAGCAACAGTTAAGACAATAGAAAATATCTTATTTCTCAAAATACTTTTTTGTTATAAAAGTAATATTAATATTAATTTAAAATAAATAATTAATTATATATTTTTAAATGTAACGTAATTATAGGTATCTAGTGGTAACAAAATAAACATGTGCTTATTACTCTTTTTAAAGCATATACTTTAATTCACTCACGCTTACTAGTAAACGAATGCTATAAAAAAATGTAGTTTAACGTGTGATATGAGCTATGGCCTCTTAAACAAAACCATAAAACTAACTTGGTTCTTATTGAAACAGAATACACAAGGATATACGTCGGGTCGGCGGTAAAATTCCTATATAAGTATATCCAATTTTTCGCGTAATATCCAAACCGCGTAAATCGGGGTAGCGTAAAGCGGGGTATTACTGTACTTATATAGAAAATATAAACACTGTATTTTTTTCTGGAATCTGTAATATTGAAATAAATAATTTCAAACTGACTGTTGTGTGTTTTTTTTTCAGTTTCTTTAAATGGATTGGGTCAAAATTGTCTTTTGTATGCTTCTTTTGTATATATACTTGTTTAACCTTTACCTTAAAAAGTATTATTATGAATTAATAGCATTTTAACCTCAACTAATTTTTCTTTAGAACCTTTTTTAATTCTGTTTTATCTATGGAGAAAGAATAACTTATAGCACTCTAGATTTGGAAATTTAAAGAATCTTTTAGGAAACTAACGTCCAATTGAATTTAGTTTTTTTTTATGTTTTGCCTTTTTACAATTTTGTTTTTGTAGGGGATTCGATTTTTTGTGGAACTTGTGGAGCTGTTTTTAAACATTTAGCCTCACTGAAATACCATGTTACGAATAATGTGTGTACAAAACCGAAAAAAGGTAATAATAAACATATTGTTTTGTAAAAAGTCATATAAAATACTTATAATCTTTATACAATTAAAAAAAAAATCAAATATCGACAGACACGAATACCTTAAAAGTACCTTAAAAAAATGATATGTTTTATACACATTTGTCCAAAATTATTGCATTTTCAATTACGGGGTGTAGCCTTCCTTACATCCTCTCTTTGTAGTTGGGTCACGTAATTGGTTAGTTTGTCATAGTGTTACGCATCTTCCTATTTCTTCAATCAGCGAATTATCAGATTATCTAGATAGGCCTGTGGAATTTGTTACTATTCTTCAGTTATTGCTGTAATTCTCAAGTTAAAGGCTGGTTTTTCATTTTTTTATTCGTGATTTTACGTCTCAAGCATGTAACAAACATGCGTTACTGTAACCGATATAAATTTTTTATATGGCTTTTAAAACTTTTTTTGGATAACTAGTTTTGATTTTCTTATACTTTTTTATTTTTTAGAGGAAGATGCCAAACAGCTGGTTTGTCCTGTTTGTAGCAAACTGTTCAAAGGGATCACTGCAATGCAATATCACGTAAAAAGAAAAGTTTGTGAACAAGTCAAAGTATATTCAGGTAAGAAATATTATTTTCTATAATATGTTTTCTATACTGGATGATAAAGAAATCGTTACACAAACAGCCATTAAATGCCATTTTGATTGATTTTATTTCTTCTTCTGCTTATCACGCCCTCTCCTGCCGAAGGTTGGCGATCCAAATGGCAATTGTAGCTCTGGAAACTGCAGCCCGGAAGATTTTCGCAGACGAGCGTTTATCTTCAAACCATCTTCTTAAATCCTTCAGCCATGAGTTCTTTTCCCTTGCACTTTACCCTCTATTATGAGGCGAAGTATTTCGTATCTACCACCTCTCATCACATGGCCCAGGTATTGCATTTTTCTTTCCTTGATGGTGTTCAGTATCTCTTTTTGTTTCTGCATGCGCTGGAGTACTTCATCGTTGGTGATTCTTTGTTCCCATGAGATTCGCAGCATCCGTCTGTACACATACATTTCGAAGGCTTCTTTTCGGTCTGTGAATCCAGTGTCCAGCTCTCACATCCATAGAGTAACACACTGAGGTTTCGTCTTGTAAAAATTGATTTCATTCTTACGAAGATTTTTCTCGCTTGCTCAATTCTTGAAAATATATTTTTTTTCGGGTCGCACTGACTATTGATGTTAGCTCTTAAATACTTTATTGAGGTCACTTGTTCGATTGTTTGTCCCTTGACACGCAGGTGTGCATTTATTGGAAAGAGGTTAGAAAAGACCAATAGTTTGGTCTTGGAGACATTGAGATGCAGTCCAAACATCTCGCTATATGATGTTATTTAGTATTTTTTAAAACGGCTTAGTACTTCTCTGCTGCAAGAGGAAACTAAAAAACAAACTACTTTTTGTAAAATACCATAAACTGGGGTATATTTGTGACTGCAGCATAAAACTTTGGAACATTCCTCATATTTTCACGTCATTTTCAAAAATAAAGTTTATCTCTACTACATGCTATTAAATGGTAATTAAAATACGACTAAATAACCCAATCTGGTCATTTTGCATTGAACACTGCATGTTTACAAACATTTCAAAAAGTCCATTGGTTATTGATAATAAACCTATTGTTTATCCAGTGGCGTCGTAAGTACTTAAAAAAATAATAATAAAAATAAAAATGTCTTATTTTAATGACGCACCCTGTATCAATATTTATCAAAATTAGAACTTAGATTAACTTAGAACTTATTAAGTATCTTAGATAAGGAGGATTCAATATAATTTATCAGATTTGAAATAAATACTGTCCTAAGGGTAGTTTGCTCTTGACTCGAAAAATATCAAACCCCATTAAAACGTACGTCTATGAGGTATCGCATTTCTTACCCTGGGCAAAATGTACGTCTTATAGCCTACGCCTCCTGCCAAAAATGAAAACCTCAACAAACAACAAAGATATTGGCTTGTATCCATCTTAAGTGGGACACCCTGTATGTATCTGTGTGTCCTTTAGTACAAAATGCTTCTTTACATCTATTTACGTCTAAAATTACATATTACAACGACTGTGTCAACGAAAAACCCTAATAATCGTACCAAAGTTACCCCAGTTTACGATACTACAAATGATGGTTTGTGTCAAGGACTGTATATATTCTAAAGGACTGTTCGATCGCGTCAAATCGCCGCTGTCGTAGTCGCCGTGGAATGCTACGTCACGCGCTGACCAGTGCTCCACAGTGCGGCGGATGGTTATTCTAGCGGGACAAAATCTCAAGAGCAATGTTTGGGACTTAAAATCTAAGAACGTAGCAAATGGTCTAATATATAGCAACTATATGGTTAAATTTATTTATTTATTAACAACTTAATTTATTAATAAATAAATACAAGATAATAAAACTATGATATTATTCGTACATGACACACAAAAAATTTGTAAACTATTGCCAAATACATAAAATTATGATATCAAAAAACTCTTTAGCAGTTTTTTTTTTAATTAATTTGCAATCTTGTGACACCCTCTATAATTTATTTTAAAAAAATATATTTTAATTTGAAAATGATAAATAAGATAGATATTTTAATTTTAATTTTAACACTCGGTAATTGTAAATTCATATATAGTAAGTATCTAAGACAATTTTTTAAACTCAGTGCCTTTTGATGGAGTTGTTTTGTTTTTATACTATCCGATTGAAATGAATCTTTTTGGGCATTCACCTGTTAAGCATGAACTCCCTGTGACTGTGACTACCTCTGTTGGTAACTCAAAAGATCTACGTCATTCAATATATCGTTATTTGAAAAAAAAGTGAAAGTTTGATATCTGCAGAACAAAGGCACGAAGGATTTTAACAAATAATATACGTACAGTAGAAAAGTACATACCTTTGGCAATCTTCAACATAATTTGGCTTTCTAATAAAATGTATAAGCACTTGTAAATATTTTGTTTTCGTATGATCTCTGCCTTGCTGAGCAGAAAACGACCAAATTTGGTTGATAAAAATGTATCGAAATACAAAGAATATTCATACATTTTTGTATCAATTGGAATGTCTACTATTTATTCTTATCAGTACACATTTTTTGGCTTATTTCTAACCAAACGCTTTTGTCCCGCTAAATTTATCTTCCAACGCACTGTGCGCTCGTCCGTCAAATGCAAAAATAACTGTCACTGTCTAAAATCTTTAGCGCCAACTTCAACTCGATCAGTAGACGACGTAAAAAAACTGACAGTGCAGGAAGATAGGAATCGAACTATCCTTATCTCTATAGTATCCTTGGGTTTGTGTAACTATTTCAGCTATTAGCTGTTAAAAGAATTATTGAAAATTATCGAATTTTCCAAACGTTTTAGTTATTTTTTTTATTTTCAGCTCCGCCTTTTCCATGCAAATTGTGCGGTACACTGTTCAATTTAAAACAGAGCTGGTACGTTCACATGAAGCGCGAAGCTTGTAGGAAGTACCCTGAAAAGTACGGCTTGAAAAGAAACGCAGATTCGTCTGCAACGTCGACCAACGAGAGCATAAAAAGTGAAGAAGACAGTCTGGACAGCCCGATATATCCAGAACTGACCATGACCGTGCCTAACGACGACACTAATAAGAAAAATATCACGTCGTAGATGAGTGAGAGAAGGAAAGAAAATATTTTCGTCATGTTGAAACTACTGAATATAAAGACTAAGGAAAATACTGTAACATTGAACTAATAGGCTTTCAATCACGAAATTTTGGTAAAAACTTGAATTTTTGATTACTTTGAAAGATCCAAAAACGAATTCTGAAAGATTTTCTAAATTCACCCCCGAGAAGGCGTGAAATAAATAAATAGAATTATTTTTTCAAAATTTCGGAGAAACGATAAGGACTAGAAAAAAAAAGTTCAAATAAAAGTTATAGAGCGTCAAATTTTACATAAAAATGGTCTCTATACTTTTTTTGCTCAAATCAAAATTAACCGTGATAGGGTAGCTAGAAGCTAGAGGACAGCTTTTATTGAAATATTTTTTCTTACCGTTTCTCTGAATTTTCTTTCTTCTACCTTATTCTTCATTTGGTCATTTCTCTTATTTTCAGCTCAGTGACTTGACGTTAAAAAGTGTTAAAAATGAAATACGTCAAAATAATATTTACTAAATCTTTTAATTTTCTAATTCTTACTACATTTTTTCTTTTTCAGTTTTTATTTTTTTTTCTTAATTTTATTTTTTTAATTTTTCATCGTTTTAGTCTAGAAACCCTGTACACTGTAACTATATTTTTGAAGTTTCTTTCCCTGATTCACTATAATCTCAGTGATGTTATATTTATCCATATAAAATATATTAACAAACATACAAGAAAGAATACAAAATAAACACAAAAAAAAGTAAATACTTTGAATGAAAAAAAAAGTAAATAAAAATGGATTCCATGACGGCTCTTCCGTTTTTAATATTAATTTATTTGTTGTTAGAACATAAAAATAGTATTAAAATGATTCCTTAGTCTTTATATTCAATAGTCAAAATAGTCGATAGTCAAGCTTTTATAACTGAAATGTCATCTTTTTACAAAAGGAGGATTACATAGTGGTAAAAAATTGTAGATATTTTAGTTATAGAGGTGGACTGTGTATAGTTACGTAAAAACATGGCAGTACTATTTTTAGAATTACCAAACTCATTAGTTTAAACTTGATCATATACCAGATATTATAAGAAATATTCTTCAATTCGCAAAAAGTCACGTACAATCTCGATTTAATTATTTATCTCATCATAACCTAACATTTTACCCAGAATCTTAAATACGTAACATTATTATGTTCAATAGCACGGAATGTAATAACTAATCTTATTTGTCCTATACTAATAGGTTTTATATTAAGAGGTGTCATTCGATTTCATTTCAGATTAAAAAATAACAAAGTTGTAGGGGTGAGCCAGTTTTCAGACGCACCCGGTATATTAACAGACGTGTCTGTATTTTAAATAGTTCTTTATCTTTTAATCGATACCTCTTTACTTTCCCCTGGACATTTTTTTGCGAATAACCGTAATTTTATTTTATTTATGTCTTGTAACCGTTCGTTTTTAATTTTTACCAAAACCACATAGACTAATAGCCTTAAGATTGTTTCATGAAGACATTACCATACGATATAACTTTGTAGCTCTAAGAGACAGCTGTATTTACTTTTTATAAGTTTATTTTAACGTTGTATGTTAATTTTAATTTTCTGTTTCGTAATCATCAGTATCTAATTTTAGTTTTTAAGAGTTTTAGAGAAAATTGTCTTAATTTTGATAAATTTTAACAAATTTGCAATTATTAGATTTTAAGTTTAATATTTCTTTTTATTATAAGTTTTAGATTTTTTTTTTCTTTATGTGGCATTGTCTATTGTTTAAATTAGTTTATGTTGATTTTTAAACTGTTTTTAATAACCAAAAGAAATTATATATTATGCATGCGATATTAATTATCAGATAACTGCATTACAGGAAGCTCATACCCTTCTAATATTTTGTACAAAATTATACACACAATATACAGTATCTTTCTTATTTCAACAAATTCTCGCTGTTTTTTTATTCGGTTACTTACTCTCTGGCAAAAATGTAGGTATATTAATAAACTTAAGTATTTCGATTAAAAAAGTTAAAAAAATACAAAATATGCGCAGTGTATGGACGACTTTAGAGCAATTAAAAGTATAAATTCAAGAGTTCTTCCTACTTTATTAGATTGTGTGCGTTAATTTTTTTATGCGCTACCCATAATGCACTATTTATTAGATAATTTATAATATACAGGGTGTCCGATTCATTTTTAAACAGCTGGGTATATTTAATTAATTAATAAAAATAGACAGTTACCCTTTTTTGAATAAATAAATAACATCTAGTTTTCATAATAAACAACTATTGTGATTGACACCCTGTATGTTTCTCTAGTGCAGCATACATATAATACTTGCATAAAACAATGATTACTACCATTTTTACTACCATATATACTCATAATTACTCTTAACTCCCCAAAAAATAGAAACCAATATAAAGCAGCTAAAGACATACTTTATAGTAAACTACGCCACTGTCTATTTCAATGATAGTAAACTCATTTTAGTGCTTAACTCGATTTCAACAGTTAGTGTGCTATATGGTGCCTTAATAATTTCATGTTTTTAGATTTATTATTATAGTAATTCTAAAATACCTTTATTAACGATTTAGTTAATTTTAATATACAGGGTGATTCAGTTTTTAACGGGAATTTTAGAGACGCTTAAAAAAAGTTATATATTTTTAAATAGTGTTTGTTTGATAATAAGTGTATAATTTCAAATCTATTTTCCTTCAAATACATTTGTTTGTGTAAATTTCGTTAAAAATTTTCTCCAAAAAAACTAAATCACCCCGTATAATTTTAGTATAATTTCGAGAACACTACGTTCTTGTACAGGGTGGCATTAAATTATAGTTAATATTATTGTTTAGTTCTTTTTATCTATATACTAACTGATCATAATATGTCAGACTGCAACGACATCTTTTATGAACTTAGTAAGTTTTAAGTTAAGCATGAAACAAAATAATTTAAGTAATTTAATTTTGAAAGGCCCTGTATTTTACTTTTTATTTAGTAATGTTGTTCGTCTTAAATATAAGTATACCATTCAATGTATTGTAGTTTTGAAGTAAATGATGATATTTTAATAATTTGGTTGTGTTAATACCTGTATACTATTACTAGCGTGTACCCGCGACTTTGATTCGAATTTGAGATTCGAGAAACCCCTCCTTATCGAACCTCTACACCCCACAGTCAATCCGTTTTCCAAAAATCAGCTTTTTACGTCAAGCGCTTTAAGCGGGATTGTGATTAACCAATGACCAGATTTTTCGAAACACCCTGTATACATTTTTAAAAAATCTTAAAATATGTAAAAAAACAAAATAAAATATACGTGTTTAAGCGTTTTTTCGGAAATTTGACCTTTTTTTTAAATAAAAAATATTGTAATATTTGAGGGGTGGTTTCATCCCCTTGGAAATGGAATTTCGAAAAATCCCTTCTTATCGAACCTCTACACCCTAGAATCAACCTGTATGCCAAAATTGAGCTTCTTACGTTGAATGGTTTGAGCAAGATCGTGATTAATCAGTGAGTCAGTATCACTTATAATAGACCTACATAAAAAACCTTATCATCGTTACATGGCTATTTTTTCTTGTGAAGTCTCCTTATGTGTAGCCATTATGAAATAGTCATGTCTGCCAGCGCGATCCCGGGGCTTAAAGCGGGGGTGGCCAATCGAAAGGGTGAAATTTTGACACTAAAAATATTATAAGGTACACGAGTTATAATTGCCAAAGGGCTTTTATTTATTATTAAGAAACGTGGAAAATTGTTGGCAGACATTTTTCTCGTGGCTAAAATGCCGGCAGACAACGCGAAAGAGGCATGAAATTTTAACAAAAAAAATAATCGCATACATGCATGCAGATTGGTGGAATGTCATATTTATTTACTTAAAAAGCCGTATGCAAAAGGGTAGATGAAAAAACTCGTGGCTCAATCGGCTGTAGACAGTTATCAAAAGCGCGATATTACTTTACAGGGTGAGTTTTGGATAAGTGCAAATATGTTCAGGGCTGGTATCTCGACTAAAGAAATATATTTTCTCTTTACCGTTTTTCAAATGAGTCCAAAATAACCGTTCAAGTTTAAAAATTTAAAAAGACATTTTTATAAAGATTTATGAGTCACCTGTTTTTTTCTGTATTTGCATCCATTCTTTTAGTGTCGTAACAAGGTCGTAACCATAGAGTAAAGCCGTAAGCATGGTAGATTAAAAAATTATACCGTGGATAAATTTGCGGTGAACAGGCAGTTGTATAAAGTTTTCTAAAATATAAAGGAACATGCACGATTTTCAAGGCGGGTAGCGTTCCCTGAAAACGCTAGAGTAATATCGCGCTTTTGATAACTGTCTGCCGCTGATTTAGCCACGATCTTTTTGTCTGCCTTTCTACATACGGCTTTTAAAATGACATTCCAAAAATCGGCATGCATGTGAGCCATATTTTGTTTCCAAAATTTTATGCCTGTGTCCTTTCGCGTTCTCTGTCGGCATTTTAGCGACAAGAAAAATGTCTGTAAGCGCGGAGAGCGACCTAACCTTGGAGCGATGTTGACAGCGTCTCCACAGAACGATAACAGGGTTGTGTAAAACGATAACAGGGTTGTAGACTAGAGAACGTAAAAATTACCCCAAGCGCGTCAAATAAACTATCCGGCCTGAACGAGAGGGAATCCGGTGATGATAGGCCAGACATCATATATTATATATAAAAAAAAACATGTAACGAACTAAAAACGTTACAAAGTTAACTTATGGATGGGTTTATACAGGTTGTTAATTAGTTTATTACTCGCGGCAAGAGCTTTATGGTTAAAATATGGCAACCTCGGCCCGCTCGTCGAGAGACGAGGCGACGCCGACGGGACGAGTCGGCAACTTAGCTTAGTACTCATTTGGAATTGGATGCAGTGTTGCCATTCTGTTTCCCAATAAGTAACCGTCCAGTTAACAATCTGTATACTCCCCGGCACAAAATTCCGCCACCCTAAAAATTTGACTAAATTTGATGTTTCATAACTTTTTATTTTATAATCCGATTTTGAAGATTGTGGTATCAGTGTGAAGATAAATTTATTATCATTATTTTTTATTATTTTAATGGCTTATATTCTTCTGTTAGGTGGGTTTATACAGGGGTAAATCAAAACGCTCTTTTTTGCAATAAAATCAAAACACCCTGTGGAAAAAATGAGACGGGTATTTTGGATAAAAATACTTCCCTGTGATCTTAGATGTATTCCTAACATTTCATTCTTTGAATTATCCCATTATCTCTATCCTTTTATGAGCTACACATTTTTAAGTAAAGTATTGATTTCAGAGATTGTTTTATTGACAAAAACAATAGTTTTATAATAATTTTAATACCGTGTATGTCTACCTCTCGCAGCAATAACAGCTCGAGGTCTTCGTCTTATCGAATGAATAAGAGTATACAGACCGGACCACCGTAGTAGTAACATAGGCAGAACCGGACGAATTAGCGTAAACCCGTCCGCCGGATAAAAAGTAGGCGAAAAAATGCGATAAAATAAAAATAGGTAGATATGTGATAAGAATGTTTCATAATTTGTATTTATTCGTGTTTTAATAGCTAAAACGCATACATAGATTCTCGCGACAGTTCTCGTGTAAAATTTATTTTTTAAGTAAATGGATGTTTTTACGAAGTTCGTGAGAAAATTGTAAAATGGTATTTCCAAAAAGGTCTTATCGGGATATACAAACAATTTTTCCACAAACTTTTGTAAACAGGGCAATTCTATCTTTACCTACTATATCAAGAGTTATTAATAATTTTGAAACACATGGGTGCGTGTCCCCACAAAAACACAAGAAGCCTGATGTGTTGATTAATGAAGAACAGGAGTTAAAGCAAGTGTTTAACCGTTTAATTAGTGGACATGGAACTATTTTGTGGCCCGTTAGATCACCAGATCTTTCCAATGATTTCTTTTTGTGGGGTTATGTAAAACCCAAAGTGTATGGTCATAATAGGGCTAATAATCTGGATGAGCTTCAAGTAAAAATACGAGAGGCTTTTCAAACTATTAGCCCTAATATGTTAGCCAATGTCAGACGGAATTTTTTAGTTTTTTTTTGGGGTTTAGAGAATTTATTTATTTTTAGTTTTGGCTTGTAAACACACTCAAATAATAAAGATTTAAGTATTTTTATTTTAAATGGTACCTTAAGTGAAGGTAAACACTTAAAATGAAAATAATAAATACTCGGTACTCCTCGCGTCGTATTCCTAGTCTGTCACGACCGACCCGTCCAAGTACAACTGCAACTGCGTACTGCCTGACTAGCCGACTAGCCGGCAATGAATCTCGAGTACGAACGCAAATTGGGTAAACGTAAATTCGCCCGGCAACTTGCTATGTTACTAGTAGCCTGGTCTTCTCTGTATAGTTATTCTTATAGTAGATTGATATTCATCAAGCTATAGATCAAGAAGACCTTTTACAAGAGCTAAGGCTAGCAGTAACGGTGGAATCTCCGTTAATGCTAGCCATAGCTCTTGTTTGTGGTTCGGGACTACAAGGAAGCCATTCCAATTTTCGTAGTCCAACCTCATACCTGGATGATTTCTCCTCGTTAACTACTGGTACTCCTAACTCGT